GGCCACTGCACTCCGGTCTGGGCAACAGAGTGAGACTCCAACTCAAAACAAAAAAAAAACAAAAAAACCTCTATAAGTCCTTTACAGATACAGATGGGAATGATATAACATCTGAAATTATTTTCTAAATTCTATAGGACATGACCAGTGAGAGGAATAAGAAATAAAGAAATGCTGGGCCAGGCATGGTGGCTCACTCCTATAATCCCAGCACTTTGGGAGGCAGAGGCGAGGGGTTCAAGACCAGCCTGGGCAACTTGGCGAGACCCCATCTCTACAATAAATTTTTAAAAATTAGCCAGGCATGGTGACATGTGCCTATGGTTCCAGTTACTTGGAAGGCTGAGGTGGAAGGATCACCTGATTCCAGCAGGTCAAGACTGTGGTGGCCGTAAGCATGCCACTGCACGCCAGCCTAGGTGACGGAGTGAGACTCTGACTCAAACAAAAAAAGAAAAGAAATGGGATGATGGGTGAGTGGAGGCTGAAGAGTCTATTCTGACTCCTTGTATATGTTTATAAAATTCTATATTAGGATTTTTTTTAACTCTCTGGGGAGAAGGAACCTTAGCATATTATGCTCACCTGCTTGAGTTGTAGCACCGTGCCCAATGTTTCTACCATAGGATTCTTCTTGTAATGTTCCACAAGATCTGTCAAAGAATCAAACCGTTCTCCTCCACCAACATCATACTTCAGTTCCTTTCAAGATAAAAAGTTGATGTTTATTATTTATGGTCTTGGTTTTAAATGATTGTTTTCTCACACTCCCTTGTTCACTGCAGCATTATTCACAATAGCTAGTATATGAAAACATCCTAAGTGTCCATCAACAGATGAATAACAAAATGAAGTGTGAGTGTGTGTGTGTGTGTGTGTGTGTGTGTGTGTGTGTGTGTGTGTGTGTGTATTTACTAAAAGCACAGAAGACCTTGACTGAACAGGCAAAGAAAATCTGACTTTGGATAGACTAGTATCTATCTTTTCCCAGCAGAAGAATCACCCCAGAGATGACATTTCCCCAGACCCGCTGATCACTTGGAGATTTACCTGACAGCGAATCATGACATGGGTCACTTTAGACTTGCCATCATTGCTCTCCCCTTTGTCATCACCGGTGCGCACAGAGAGAACAAAATCTCCAGGGTGACTCTGGCTCTCTCGGACTAGAAAGCTACCATGTTTTCCTTTTTCAGTTAGTAATTTCTCTGCTTCTTTCCCAGAGAGGTGTCCATGAAACCACCTAAATTTTTTTAAATGAAGATGAATTGAGGTCTGCCATGAGTTCACAACATTTCTTCACAAAACTACTATATATGGTCAGCAGTCTTAAACACAATTTAAAAACAGACACATTCCCTGAGGGATTGATCATTCCCACATAAGACAGAACATGCATCACAAGCAGGCAGGAAAAATGGCAAAGATAAGAGTGACCACTAAACTTCTTAAATGAGCCCACAATCAAATTGACACAAAGGTCCTCAGTATCTCCTGTTTTCTTTTAAATCTCTCGTCTTTTAAAACTGCAATTTAGCCGGGCTCAGTGGCTCAGCCTGTAATCCTGTGCCTTTGGGAGGCTGAGGTGAATGGATTGCCTGAGCCCGTGAGTTCAAGACCCATCTGGGCAGGCGAGACCTCATCTCTACAATAAATCAAAAAATTAGCCAGGCGTGGTAGCGTGCGCCTGTAATTCTGGCTACTCAGAAGGCTGAGGCGGAAGGATCGCCGGAGCCCAGCAGGTCGAGGCTGCGGTGGCTGGGAGCGGTCACTGCACTCCAGTCTGGGCGACAGAGTGAGACTCCGACTCAAAAAAAAAAAAAAGAAGGTATAATAAAAAGTGGTGATACAGACAGAAAATCACTACAAATACTTGACCTTGCTTTAGGCATGTGAACACTAAATTTAAAATGAACTTCCAAATGTGCCCATATTTACAACCCATACTTCAACAGCTTCCAATGTCTTTGGACTACACCCTGGGTTATCATCTCAAACTTTAATGCACTTAAGACTTGGAGTAGGGGTGAGAGATTCTGCTAAAAATATGAATTCCCCTGCCCCACAACTAGTGATATCAATACATTTAAGTTTGAAGGGGGCCCAGAAATCTACATTTTAACCAGCACAGAGAGTCCTGATGTAGGCAATTCAAGGCCATCCAAGAACAAACATGGAAACAATACTGCTCTAAGTTACTATGGAAAACATCTTAATACAATCCTTTTAATAATGTGGCTTTTAGCCAGGCTCGGTGGCTCAGCCCATAATCCCAGCGCTTTGGGAGGCTGAGGTGAGTGGATTGCCTGAGCCCGCGGGTTCGAGACCCGTCTGGGCAACCTGGAGAGACCTCATCTCTACAGTAAATCAAAAATGAATCGGGCGTGGTAGTGCACGCCCGTAGTTCCAGCTACTTGGAAGGCTGAGGCGGAAGGATCGCCGGAGCCCAGCAGGTCGAGGCTGCGGTGGCCGGGAGCGGCCACTGCACTCCAGTCTGGGTGACTGAGTTAGACTCCAACTCAAAAAAATAATAATAATAATGTGGCTTTTTCCTCAGGTTCTTGGTCAAGGAAGCAAGCACTATCATGGCAGATAATGCTGACAGCTCATCACCAAAGAAACATTCTTTGAGTGAGTTTTCATCCATCCTCAATTGAAAAAAGTAAAATTTAGAAGTAAACTGCACAGAGTTGGCTAGACAGCCTTTTGCTTGAAGTGACTGGTAGCTGGAGAAACAAAACATCAGCCCATAATAGCACTGACATAAAGGGGTATGAAGAAAAGCAAACCTGAAGACACAAAATATACAAATTTAGAGCACCTGAGTTTGTACCAAGTCAGAGGAGACTAAGAATGTAGAAAACCAGCAAAAATGAGTCAAGTCCACACTTTCATCAGTTTAGTTCCCACACAGGGGGAAAGACCTCAAAAATAATACAACTCTCACAAAGCAAGGTCATTCTCACGTAATTGAGGATATAATATTAAAAGAACTGATGAAAAAGCTGACCCTCCTAGCGCTCTGCTTTTCCACTTTTGAGCTTCAACTGACATCTGTTGGTGGCACTGCTGAATAACTGGTCGGGAGCCACCATAGGGAATTGCTGCTATGTTGCCATCTCCATTATCATCTGTTTTCCTTTAATAACTCTCAACAATGATCAGCTAAAGTTCAGTGAGTCTTAAAATTAACACATGCACCATGCAGATACAGGGCTAGGAAGAGACCCTTGTGGGATGAGTGGAAGGAACACTGACCGAAGCTTTTACAAGGAAAGGGTACTCTGAGAATAATTGGATGCTATTATTCTTTCTTTAATCATACTTTAAAGATAACAGCTTGAAAAACAGGTACAAGCCTAGGGAGTCATGTAGTCAGACACAGACCTCTGCCATGCATTTGTGGAACACTCACGGCACAGGAGATATGCACACTTTGTGGTCACGAAAGTGTCACTGACCTTTCAGAGGTAGGATCTGCACAGTTCAGAGGATATTTAAGTTCAATAACATCTCCGTTCTTCTCTTTTAACTGCCCGTGATGTTCCATGTAATACTGCACCAACTCAGCCAAAGTGGCAAACTTCTCCCCACCATACAGATCATAGTAGTCACCAGTGTTCTGGATCTTGATGTGGGTGACAGCTCCATTTCTTCTAAAATAGGATATAGGAAGGGGGACAGGGGGACAAGTAAAGTGATACTAGTAAAAACGAAGTTCTTGCTCCATATTAGATTTCACTAAATGTTGAAACAAACCCAAGAACTAATTTACTCCTTCTCTATAACAAACATAATAGGTGAAATGACTACATGTCAAGCAATTCAACACAAAGGGTTTTATTTATTCATTTCTTTATTTTGTATATCTTCTATTTTGAATGCCTGACCTATCAAATTGCCTATATTAAGTGACAATAACTGTTCTCATCATTAACTAATCAAGGTCACATATAATTAAAGTCAAAATTAAACATACACTTACCACATAATTAAGCAAATCCACTCCTAAGTATTTTGCCCAAAAGAAGCAAAACTGTATAGCCACCAAAACTTATACAAAAATATTCATTGCAGCTTTATTCATAATAGAAAAAAATTTCTATTTTTTAATCACAAAAATGTATAAATAGTGGCATACTCATACAGTGAAATACTATGCAGCCATAAAAAATAACACTGATACAGCAACACGATTGAATCTCAAAAATATGTTGAGATGAAGCAGCTAGACACAAAAGAATACATACCATATGGCTTCAGTTGTGTGAAACTTTATAAGCAAAACTAGTCTATGAGGATAGACATGAGAGTAGTTGCCTTGGAGTGAGCAAGACTGGAAAAGCACAGAGAACCTTCTAGGGTGATGGAAATGTTCTATATTAATGACATAAATAAATACATTTATCAAAATTCATCTTACTAACTGGGCACAGTGGCACGCACCTCTAGTTCTAACTACTCAGAAGGCTGAAATGGGGAGATCGCTTTAGTCCAGGAGTTCAAGGCCAGCCTGGGCAACATAACTAGATGCTGTCTCTTAAAAAAATTAAAAAGAGCTGAGCAGAAGGATCGAGTGAGGACAGGAGTTCAGGGCTGTGATATACTACGATTGTGCCTGTGAATAGCCACTGCATTCCAGCATGGATAACATAGCAACACCCTGTCACAAAAGAAGAAAAGGCCTCAACTTACTGTACACTTGCCTTTTTAAAAATAGAGATGAGGTCTTGCTGTGCTGCCCAGGCTGGACTGTAACTCCTGGTATTCCTCCCACCCAGGCCTCCCAAAGGTCTGGGATTACAGGGATGAGATACCACACCCAGCCTCACTATACACTTAAGAAACTATATATATAATTTTATCTTTAACAATCATTTTAAGCGAAGCTCGGTGGCTCAGCCTGTAATCCCATGCCTTGGGAGGCTGAGGTGAGTGGATTGCCTGAGCCCGCAGGTTCAAGACCCGCCTGGGCAGCGAGACCTCATCTCTACAATAAATCAAAAATTAGCTGGGTGTGGTAGTTCGTGCCTGTAGTTCCAGCTACTCGGAAGGCTGAGGCAGAAGGATTGCCGGCACCCAGCAGGTCGAGGCTGTGGTGGCCGGGAGCGGCCACTGTACTCCAGTCTGGGCAACAGAGTGAGACTCCAACTCAAAAAAAAAAAATCATTTTAAAGACACATATAATTGACAGGGTTTCCAGCACGAAACAATGTTATCCCAAAAGCACCAAACAACTTATGTAAAAGGTTATTGTATTCATTGAGGTATTAGATATCATTTTAAAATATTGGCCATAAATAAATTCCCAGCAAGAGACTATATTAAGTTATGGCATATCCACACAATAGAGTGCTATGCAGCTGACTAAAAGGATGAGAAAGATCACTAAAAGATTTCTGTAAGTGAAAATAATAAAGCCGGGCTCGGTGACTCAGCCTGTAATCCCGCACCTTTGGGAGGCTGAGGTGAGTGGATTGCCTGAGTCTGCGGGTTCGAGACCCGCCTGGGCAGCAAGACCTCATCTCTACAATAAATCAAAAAATCAGCCGGGCGTGGTAGCACATGCCTGTAATTTCGGCTACTTGGAAGGCTGAGGCGGAAGGATCGCCGGAGCCCAGCAGGTCGAGGCTGCGGTGGTCAGGAGTGGCCCCTGCACTCCAGTCTGGGTGACAGAGTGAGACTCCAACCCAAAAAAAAAAAGAAAATAATAAACTACAAAGAAATATATTCAGCATTCTACTTTATGTATAAAAAGAAAAATAGTAAAAAATATTTGCTTGTTTTTACAAAAAGAAACACAGAAAGATAAATCAGAAATTAATGGAAATGGTTACCTACAGGAATGGACAGACAGTGTGCAACAGTGTGCAACAGGTAGAGATAAGAATGAGATTTCTCAGAATATACACTTGTATATAGTTTTGACTTTTGAATCTTGTACATGTTTTACAAACTCAAAAAGTAAAATGAAATCAACAAGGACTGAAAAAAACTGAATACAAACAGAAAGAAATGAATCTATGTGGTTAGTATATTCATAAATATACAGAAAATTAATTCCAGGAGCTTCTGAACATAGTACTGACTGCATACCCTTAGGGGGTTATAGTGTAAGAACAAAAAGACTCCAAAGAAATCTTGAACTTTACTTGTTAGGCTTGTAATTAAAAATGACAGTGGTATAGTAATCTATATTATAGGGTTGGGCAGAGGTCACATATTGATGCTATTGGGAGCCAGGGTTCTCCTTCTAGAAGCAAGGAAATACAAATGTAGAATGGAGAAAGGTGGGTTAAATGGGAACAATCAGTAAGAACACTTGGTTTTAAACATAATAGTAAGGCAAGGCACAGTGGCTCACAGAGGTGGAGTTCTTTGGGAGGTAGAGGCAAGAGAATTGCCTGAGTCCAGGGGTTTGAGACCAGCCTGGGTGAGATCTCGTCTCAACAATAAATAAAAAAAAATTTGGCAAGATCTCATCTCTACAATAAATAAAAAAAATTAGCCAGGTGTAGTAGCTACCTGGAAGACTAGGGTAGAAGGATTGCCTAAGCCCAGCAGGCCGAGGCTGCAATGGCCATGAGCATACCACTGCACTCCAGCCTGGGTGACACAGTGAGACTCCAATTTAAAAAAATAAAAATAAGCCGGGCTTGGTGGCTCAGCTTGTAATCCCGCACCTTGGGAGGCTGAGGTGAGTGAATTGCCTGAGCCCACGGATTCGAGACCCGCTTGGGCAACTTGGCAAGACCTCATCTCTACAATAAATCAAAAAATTAACCAGGCGTGGTAGTGCGCGCCTGTAGTTCCAGCTACTTGGAA